ACTACACCCGTCAGGAATCTGCCGCCGCCCACGACCCTCCCTAGACACTTTTTGCTCTGACGGTGTAGCCACACACTTTCTGCTCTGACGGGTGTAGTCCCGCTCCTATGAATTCCTAGCAGCGGGACTACACCCGTCAGGACAGGAGCGGGGATGTCTGGGGGGGGACGGGGTGGGGTGGCCGAGTAGCCCTTGTTTTGATCGGAGCGCAGGCACACCGCCCCAAAACTCGGCGCCGGAATTGGGGTGCGCACTTCTGCGTGGGTGGGTGGGTCGTGGGTGGGTGGGTCGTGGGTGGGTGAGGTAGGTGGGTGGGACCGGCTGATACTCATGATGCTCGTTGTCAGCAACTAAATTCAGTTGCCGGTTCTGGTGCCCTTCGGAAGGGTGGTGGGGGCGTCCAAATCTGGGTATGCTCTACCCGTAAACAATCTCCTCTTCGTCATCGGCCCCGGCCATGGCGTCACCTCACGCCGTACTGTTTCGAGCCTCGAAAACACGTGCTCTTCATCCTGAGCTTTAACGGCCTGAGCTGTTACAGGATTGAGGGGGGGAGTGTTGATGGGGGTAGGAAGCGCTGCCATGACAAAAGTGGCGGGGTGCCAACGCTCGCAGACCCCTAGAGAAAGTGGAAGCTGCTAATTCGAAAAGACAGCATAAACCAATCTTTGTGGCAGTTTCAATAGCCAGCTCCATCTACACGCTCATGATCCTCCGACATAAGATCGTCTTGTGAGCAAAACACTGCCACACCCGCTCTAAACTTGACCACGAAATCTCATAAGCCGACCGGCGACCTGCAAGCCACCATGTCAACGCAGGGGATGGGAAATCACAATACAAATCTGGTACACTAGTTCCACATTTGAAGTTTCTGGTCACAGGAAGCCTCGACAGTTACGAAGCCACGAAGCCAAGCAAGAGGAAACTCTGTTTACCTTGTGCTTGGTCCTTCAGCTCATGTATCTTCCTTGGTTCGATCCTCATTGTATTGCTGACCCTGGTTGCAATAAGCACAGGCCAGCACCAGTTAACAATCAGTCTGGGGAGTCATGGCCCCATGGCTCAGCGGCACTTGGGAACACAATTCGTATTTCTCCGCTTGGAAACTTTTAGACATGTACATTCAAGCAGAAAAAAAAGGAAAACAGTCCAAGAATCCCATTGCTGTGTGCCCGCTCTGGCGCTAAATCAAATAACAAATACCGACAAACGGTAATCGCATGCCCTGGCTGCAGTGTTCCCGACCAGCCTGTGTCGACCCTTTTCTTGCAGCGTTGGTATCGGTGCACTGTTGCAGCGAGCCGGAGGCGGCCTGCCAACGCGTGGGTGCACCCTTGAGAGAGTAAGACATCGCAGGTCTGAACCTGTGCACCGAGCCGGCCGAAATCTACGCGCTGCCCAACCCCTGTTCAGCGAATTAGGCCTTGTCCGACCCCCTTCGAAGACCACGGGTTGTTGCCTCGCACCTTTGAAAAACACAACGGCCCCGCGCTTCTATTGAATTTTCAGACAACTCACGGAAGCTAGCAGCACACAGACCGGCACCTTTATCATGTGGCACGACAGGCATTTGCAAATGAAGAACCCAGAAAGTTCTCACCGAGAAGGGGAGCTGCCACTTTGGACGCTCCCTCTGCTCTTTCCTCACCAATCTCGGGCCCGCGGCGATGACCATGCACACAATCAGACATCGCGGGTGTTTAAAATGTTTAATGCTCACTTCAGGGCCAGACTGGAGGGCTGAACTTGAGGTCCATGGAAGATACATCACCTCAGCTTGGCCAGACAAGATACTGCCGGTCTACTGGTGACGACAGCGACGAGCGACAGCGGATGCTATCTTCCTCGCCTGTCCCGGCTGGTTCGAGTGGACCGCCAATGCATCTCGGCCTACAGGATGCACTCGTCTCGGTCCAGTCTGCGCTCCCGCTGGCTTAGCGGGACTAGGGAGACCGCGTGAACGGAGGCGCGGCAGGCGTCACCTGCAATGCGGGTTTGATAGGCGAGCGAAGACTTGTCAATGATATTTGATCGGCCAGCATGAACAGATACACATGTGGCTGAACACACAGCCCACCTCCGCAGTTTGGCCGAGCAACATAAGCTTCTTCTGTAAAGATCCTAGGATTTCGCGCTCGGACTTGCTCGTACGCACCAACGGTGCCGAGGTTTAAGCCTGGGAAGCTATGCCCGTTTAGACAGGTGAGGTCAGCACGGACCGACTGGGAAGGCTCCATCATTCCCTGGCAGGACGCAGTAAGTCTTTCAGGTCCCCTGAAACCTTCGCCACGACAAGCTAAGGCGTGGGCAGTGCCCAATTGGCGAACCAAAGACTGTGCCTCAGGAGAGCAAGCGAGAGAGAGAGAGAGAGAGAGAGCTCCACCTGGCAGCTCTCCATGTTAGAGGGAGTGACGGTTGCAATCTGAACCTCGCACCTTGAGGCACAGCAGTTCTACGTGGTCGCCCATCCTGCCAAGACATCACGCATCAACTTGGAAGACACAGAAGGAGAAAGCTCAGCGAGTGGCGTCTCTGCATCTGCGTCTGCATCCTTCTAGCAAGCAGAAGTCTCCGTCAACTTCGTGGGCAAACTTGCCCGTAAGTGCCGCGCTCCGCTGGGCCCACCCAGCAGCTGGCTTCTAGCAACCTTCTGATAAAAGCTCAGACTGTTGAATGTCGCAGCGTTCGCTTCTGCTCAGTCTGGAGCATGGCAATCCTCGCTCCCTGTGCTGAGCGGACCGGAGCTCCGCTGGCCTGTGGCTCAGGGAAATAGAATTGGAGAGCATGCGCATGCAGGGATCTGCAAGGCACGAACCTTCTGCGACCGACCTCATAAAGCATGGGTAGCTATGATTGAGATTGCTTGAGCATGCTGTGCACCGCCCCCCTGAGGCTCTCTCCTGAAACTTGCCACATTTGGATCTGCAGTGTAGGAACCGACCCGTCCAGAGAGGTCTTCAACTGCACAGCACCAGAGCACCGCGATTATTCCTGAATTTTCAAAGCATGCTCGCTATCGAATGACCCAAAAGGTACACAGCCGCTTTTGCACACCATGAAATCGTAAAGTAGTAGCGGCTGACTTGAAAGTGACACTCGCTCATGTGTTGAGCGCCTGGACAACAAGGCGACGTCCCTTCTGCAGTCATCCAGCGGAGCACAAACTCCGGGACAAGCTGCCGGGAGGTGTCTGCTCTGCTCGCTTGGCAGTTTCCACCACGCCTTCCGCGCGAAGGCCATTCCACGCTGCTGCGTTGGCAGGTTGAAAGACTGTAACTCGGGATGTCTTGGCGGTTTCTGTCTATCATCTACAATTCTACACTGTGCCTACCCTATCTTAGAAGACAGCTTTGCAAGCCAAGCATCTCGAGTTACCTGTGTCTCCAGACCTATGCTGCAGCTCTAACAAGCTAGTAAGAATATCTTGCTCGCTTCGCGGCAGTACTTGACCAATCCCAATCGCCCCACTCACGGCTGCTCTTTTTGCCCTTGCCCTTGCCCTTGCCCTTGCTCTTGCCCTTGCCCTGATCAGGCCACTCTCTTTGCTGCCACTTCTGTTGCCATTGATAGCCTCGGTATGCAAGCATCTTGCCAGTAATTTAAGGTTGGGAAGGGTTCCACGACACACCCGGACTAGGTGCTTTATTCGTGAGATGCCCTTGTCGCGCGTGCCCGTACTTCTGCGCTCTGCGATTGAGTCTGTTTAGTTTTCCGAGCGAGAGTCGGATCAATCGTGTTGGAAGCCGAAATTACCTCCGGAGTCTCTCCCGCGAAGCCGGATCCCTTACGGCAGTCAAGAACACGGCTATACAGCCAAACCACTGCGTAGCCTGCTTCACGAACAGAGTCAGTGTGCAATATCAGACCGCACTCCTACCACGGAGCAACTGCCCAACGTGTAGCGGGACAGATGCCGGACGCATTCGTGGCACGGACACAAAGGAATTCTCAAGTCCAAATGTCAACTCCGGCTAAGTATCGCAATGCAACACTAACCGGTACTCGAGAATGCAGATCAGTAGCTCGAGCCTTCGGTCTCTTGTGGTTGCGCCGGTTCTGGGCTTTCTAACCATGAGTTGTACTCCTCCATGACTGTGTTGATGAGGTCATGTGTTATGCTGACGGCTTCCTCGATGGCTTCCTGCAAGTCTACGAGCGGTCGATGCAAGCACTCACCAACTCAAACACATCCGCTGCAAAGCATTGCCCTGTTTCCGACTATCCGCAAACAACGGATGATGTGCGCTGTGATTAGGATGGTGCGTTTGCGTTGGTTACGGCCACACTCGTCAAGACTGCTGCGGCGAGCGGTGAAACAGATATCAAAGATGCGCAAGCATCTGCGACGACTCGTTTCGCATCCTGCTTGATGCGATATTTGATGATGTGTTGCTGGTTCATGCTACGTTGAGCTTGCATTGTGCATTCCGATTGTCTTGAGGAGTTCTCTACAGCGCCAACCTCTCAGCTGCGGGCCTGCCGCGATATGCGACAGCTTCGCGGGCCTCGCTTCGCACGAAGGTGCACAACCTCGTAGCTGTCTCACTCAGAGCGCGTCGCTCTTCCTTCCTGGTCTGCGGCTTTGCAGCAGAGAGCAATAGCAATACGAGTTGTAGTCATCTTTCTCGTGACGGTGGAAGGTGGAAGGAAGAGCAACTTGCTCGTCAGCAGTTGCCGGCTGCTGCTGCTGCTTCAGTGGTGGTTGTTGTTGTTGCTGCTGCTGCCGCTGCTGCGGCCTGGAAGCCTGGATTCCTGTTCCAGGTCCCATGGTGCCATGAGAACTCAAACTTAGATCTCCTCCTTTCGCGAAAATTAGTGTGTGTTTTCGCGTGCATCAGGTCACTTCGAGGAACTGGCTGACAGCCTTATGTTGGGCCAATAGGCATCCGTCCGTTTGGAAAAATCATCTCTCATTTCGGCGACTGCAGGGGTGCGGCAATCATGTCGGCGATACAAAACACGGAGCCGACCTCACACACCATGCACACGTGGTCTGCTATTACCTGCAACACTCCGTGTCATCTCGCATGATGCTGCTTCTACTGTACCACCACGAGCAGCTCAACACAGCAGTTTGTCCTCGTCATCGGATCTTATTGCAATGTGAAGCGGTTCGTCCGCATCCTCCTTGGACCCTGATCCGCGACCACGCAGCCACACGGCGGCGCCTGTGGTGCTGCTGATGTGCTTCACATTGCGGCCACCTTCCGGCTGCACAAGAATCTGTCAAGGCACTATGTTCACTTAGTTGTTTTTGACCGCCTGCCTTTGCCGATGAGCTTTGCAACTAATGGAAACCGCGGGTCCAGTTTATCTTCTTCCAAGGTGATCTTGTGCACTCGCACGCTCTCGTCGCTTTGCTGGTCCTGCGGAGGGTCCTCGTCGAAAGCACAAAGGACGATCGCCGCTTGCGAGGAATGAAGCTAACTCAGAAACGCTGGTGTGTGTGTGTGTGTGTGTGTGTGTTTTGCGAAAGGAAAGCAATAATGCTCTGCAACTGGCAGAGCTACCTTTCCGCCTGCAGATAAACCTCGATGCATCGCAGCATCAAGCGTAAACAAAGCCCAACACAGCATGCTATGTAGGTCCCGCATCGCTGCGCCTTGCTTTCGACGACTTCCCCGGTGCGTTCCGGTGCAGTGTATGGAGTGGTGTATGGAGGGGTTGCTGGCGGTTGAAAACCGCCTTCAGGTGCCACGGGTTACTTGAGTCCTGCATCCGGGGGTTGGCTCAAACAAGAGGAGGGAGGAGGGCCTCATGTCGAGACAGCTGCCACAACGCCTGCCGCATCGCCCCTTAACTTGGTCGATGCTCGAGACGGATACTCTGTGAACTACGTTGCCCGGGAAGACCACGATCCTAATAGACGCGATTCTCGAGACAGTTGTCACAATATCATCCTCATGAGATCTGCCACGGCCGTGGGCTCTTGCCAAAACATGCTTGCAAGAGCAAGTGGCTTGGAAGAAACCGGCCGAAACGAAATACCCTGCTGGTGTCACGATAGACGAGCGCAGGACGCTTAATGCACTTCAATTCAACCAGGCTCCTTGCTTTTGCCCTTGGTGCCTTTATTGCCTTTCGCGCCCTTGCTGTCGTTGCCGTCTTTGCCTTTGCCCTTGCCTTTGTCCGAAGAGCTGTCTCTCTTGCCCTTCTGGCCACCTGAACAGGCATAGCTTGAAGCGACTAGTGAGATTGTTTCTCTGATGCATATATCCATCTGTGTTTCCAAATCAGCAGGAGGGCAGAAAGGAACGATCCAAAATGGCACGGCGCAGCCTTGTGCATCGTAACCCCCTGCTGCGAAGTGCTTGCCCTTTCCACTCCTTGCGAATGATTGAATGTCGTCGTCGGCATCTCTTCCAGTGTGCAAAGTTTCATGGGCACAAAGCACTAAGTGAAAACGTCAGGTTTGCAAGGCGACTGGAACTCCAGGGAAGTGCCTCTGCATGACAAAATGCGAAGCCAAAGCGCGCATCGCGATCTCCATGTCCGCTCTTGCCCTTGCCGCCCTTGCCGCCCTTGCCCTTCTCGTGCGGCACCGAATCGGTCTCTGAAAGCTGCAGAAGCTCCTGAGAAGACCCCCGGGCCCTCCGCCCTTCTCTCTCTACTTTCACCATTGTTGCTGAGCATTTCTTGCATCCTTGGCAAACCTCTGCGGCAGCCCCAGGGCTTGTAGGTCAGATACCCCCACAGACCTGGCAAAATTGAGCGAGCAGCAACGGCGCGGATGTTGAAAACCTACGCAGACATGGAACACAGAGCCTCAGAGTGCCGCATTCTTAGAGCGAGCCATTAATGTCCAAGTCAGGCATTGTGTCCTCTTTTATACTGTCGTGCTGACGTTGTATCTTCCTTCGCCCCCAGCCCTCCTGTGATTAAAGGGTTTGAGAATGGTCCAATTGGGGACGTCGAAATCGAAGGGTCCAGCCGAAAGGACACTTAAATAGCCAATCCTCCACGGTTGAGTCAGTATCAAGTGCCTTAAGCTCTCCATGGAGTCGTACCAGTTTTCCTCCAAGATCTTGAGGAAAGGCTGGACATCAGCCCAGCTGCGCCCCAGCGACTTGCCCACAGCCTTTGTGCTCAGAACATCTCGCGATTCTGCACCATCACCGCATCATCGTTATTCACAGCCTAGTTATTTGATCGTGCTCATGCCTGGACAGCATCCGGCAACCTCGGCGGAGACATGATTCGAACGTTCCGTTCGGTTGCACTACTCGCACTCTTACTTGAAGCTCCCGGTGACTGACACTAGCTGATACGAAGCAGTACATTAAAAGCATGACGTGGTATGCGATGGAATCTCACACACAGACTGCCTTGCTGCAAGAGCCGGTCTCACATGAAATGATAGGGAGAAGTTTGAAGCAACTTGCAGCATGACTACTTCAAACCATGCAAGCGCAAAGCAACATGGCCTGCAGCCCCGGCGCTGTGAGCGGCCACGGCCTCTAAGACACGTGCAAAGATGCACGAATTGTCTGAGGGAACGGTTGCAACAGCTAAGATGTTGGCACTGCTTCCAGCCGGTATTGGCCGGTGACCGGCATACGGCCTGTCCCACCAAACATCACCAGCCACAGCCAACACACGCAACCCAGTACGGTAGCAGCTGCCCAAAAAGTCGAATTCAAAGTGTCGATCGCTCATGACACATCTGGGCGCCGAACACGATGAGAGATGTTGTACTGGCACAAGGTCTGGGCCGGGTATGGGCAAAACAACCCATCGCACAAAAAAAAACACTGAGGCTTCTGTCTGGATTCGACTGCGCACTCTCATACATCAATCATACATCCAGACACCCATCACAACGGGTCAGAGCATAGCAAAGGCATTCCCACGGCAAGCATCCAAACCTGGAAGCGAGGGCAGTGCAGACAAGCGAAGGGCAGGATCCCAAAGGAGGGAGCATCACAGCGAAAAAAGCAGTGCTAAGGGCAAAGAAAAACATTGCAAAGAGCACAGGGAAGGAAAGGGTCGAACTCTCGCATGAGTTCAGGGTCCAAAACTGCGTGGGCTTAGTCGCCCGAGGCAGGTCAACGTAGCGGGTACTGACCTTGACTCGAATGGTGCTGGACAGCCCCTCTGCAGCGAATAAGCTTCCGTCGTCACGGCAACAGATCTAGTAGATCTTGTTGCGCTCGACACGTTCTCACCGACAAGTGACGGACCTTTGCTGGAACGACTTGTCAATTACACCACGACTCGAGCAGACTCCCCGCGAGGGCAGGGCCACTGTGAAGGCTAGAGCTCGACGAGCTGTCGCAACTCAAACGACTACCTCGGCACATGCTTCTCGGAAAAGCCCATCCCGAACGCGGCAACAACAACAGAAAAAACACAATCAAGCGACTTTGGTTTGCCCTGCTTGGTGAACCTGCCTGGGGCCTTGGTCGCGGGCCACAGGAAGCGTTAGCCGGAATGCATTCATTGCGACTCCCGAAACTGTGGCATCCACGCAGCAGCTGAGCGAGCCTCAGGCCGACATGGGCATTTTCTGCTTCACACATGTCACATCGGGTTGTATCCGAGTGACGGGCAGGAGGACTGTTGCTCAATAAAGGGTTCGGCCTGCGTTCTCGCATTTTGCTCCGTGCCTTAGATTGCAGAAGCAAATCTCACAGGATTATACAGGATTGGCGAGAAGTCCCTCCGGCGGCAAGTTGCAGAACCACAGGATGACTCGCGAAGAGCCTGGGCAGGTAGTCTCAAAGGAATGGAGGTAGGCATGCTCAGGTCCTGGGATGCCAGCACTGTTCAGTTTGCTAGTGCTAGAAGATCGCGCTGTCAAGCATGAACCGCCTTCCACGCACCAGGGAAGCAGTGCCTCTTTCTGACGCGTGTCCCCCGGATGCGAGAGCTAAGCTTCCAACCTCGCTTGCCTCCACTCAACCTCGAATGTACACACAACACCCCTGACCACGTGCACCAACAATGGCAGCAGCTGCCTGGGCACGCTGTTCCTTCCACCTTCTGGGTTGTTTTCATCCTGTGTAGTGACGGCCATCATCATGGAACACAAGACATATAGGAAAAGCAAGCAAATGGTCCCGTGGAACACCAAATCGAGGAGAGATCTTCTCTGGAAGCCTCATTGCGAACACATCAAACCATCGTCATGACATTTTGCGCTTGTGTAAACGAGCAACTTCTTCGTCACGTCTCCGAAAGGCTGCGGTGATGCAAGAGCTGCATATGGAGCAACTGGCACATTTCCACCTTGGTGGGGATCGTGACATGGACATGTCGCACTCTGACTTGTCTTGGATCTGGGCGTGGTGACAATGGTGCCCTGGGCCACTGCATGATCAAATGCGGCTCCATGTAGCAATGCAACCGTTGACGGTAACCCCTCTGTAGCCTGGGCGAAGCCTCCCCATCAGCATCATTGTTTTGCCTCACCCACTACGGCATTCCGTGGTGAGCAACACTGATCGCAACTCCGGACTTTATGAATGAAAATCATTTCAAAAGTGCCCGAGAGCGAGGCAGAGACAGCCGCGGGATGATGTATCGATCGGACCTGGTCCGGTTTGTGGCAATGCCACTTCTCTTCGACATGCTAGGGAAATTGAAGCACCACGAACAACTGAAATCCTATAAGGCCATAGCGGGGAACGGGAACGCTTCGCGGCTCTATCGACCTTAGATGAATTTGAGAAGTTTGTTTCGAGAAAGCAGGTCCGCGCTTTGGCTCCTGCCGAGGATGGCCCTTTCGGCAGCACGGCCATGCCATCAACTAATACTGCTTCTGTTTTCCATAATAACTATAAATTACATTGATTCCTTTCAAATTTTCCATGTCGCCTGCTGAGAGCCATACGCTGGCGTACAATGTGCGGAAGCATCGCGCGCACCTCAAACATGGCGTGCAAGAAAAAACGCTATCACGTAAAACTTTTCCACTGCTTTTTACTTTTGCCAAGAAAGATCCGCGACGGCAACTACGGTCTACGACTGGGTACAGCAGGCCGGGAGGGAGGCCACAGCCAGGGGCGGCTATAGTCCCAGCGCACATGAGCGAGGCCTCATGCAGCTCGCCGAGGCCCTCTTTCGCGGCGTGCGGCAGCGGCAAGGGCACGGCCAGGACCGACATCGACGGGGGGGGTGACGTGGCCCAGCCGTGTGAGGCGATACTAGCATCAACTGCAACCTCGGCGAGCCGGACGTTTCGCTCGCGCCAGCCTCGCGGCAGACACGTGCTACAGCGTGCTCAAGGGGCAGGGCTGCAGCACGAGCCGTGCAGTAGGCAGCGCAGCAAAAGGACGCGAAACACGGCAGTGGGTTTAGGTGACGTCATGCCGTGTGGGCGTGACGTTGAAGGCACGGGCGGCAAAAGGCCCAGCTAGCAAAGTATGACCGTTTTTTCGCACGCGGGCCGCAAGCGACCTGACCTGCTTACTGGAAATAAAAGCAAATTTTTGATTGACTCGCGTGGCCATGCTCGGAGCACTCATATCTGCCTATTGCACCTGCTGCATGCCCGCTTGCTTTTGGCATACCTTTGGCGACAAACAACGAAACCTCGCACCAACGCGTTGCTTGCGCGATCTCAGCAGGCTTACATGAGAAACACAAATGCACATGAACCCACGAGCCTTGGGCAACTGTGCGTATCTGCGATCACGCCGGCAAGCCGTGCTGGCATCGTCCGCTCGCTGAGAGCGATGCTACGGAATGCTGCAAACGCGTGCAACATGCTCCAGGTGCGTTGACTCTGCCAACTTCGTGCGGTTGTTGGCCCGAGCACGAGCACCCACCGCCCTCCCTCTGCGGCATGCAGCAACCGTGGCTGCCTTCGTTGAAGACCATGGAAACAGAAGTTTGAATAAATAACCTTTGTAGTTAATTGCTCTCGCTTCTTGTCAACGCGCTATCCACACAATAATTCGTGGATTTGATTGTTCGTCAGGGTATGGGAAGGAGACACTTAATTAGTTTTCAAGTTGATTGTCGGTCTTGTTCCGCACCCCTGTCCGGACAATTGGCTCTGGATTTAATTGTTGCCTGCGGGTTGCGTTTTTTGGAGGGTTAACGTAGTTGTTTTACGTAGGGTCCTTCGAGGGGAATCCAGATTGGGCAAGACCCGTGCCCCCACGCAAGGACCGCCACCCCCAGCGGAGCTCGGCGACGATATCTTGCGGGGTGATAAGCCAACTACCGAACGAGGTGCGGTCGTTCTGCGCTCGCCCATCGGCTATTCAGGCTTTGTTCGCGCATGGGCAGACGAACGCATACACACGAAGCGGCAACTGCTGGACCACCTGCCTCAGCTGCCGGACCTCCAGTGCGCCACCTTCCTCAGTCCGCGCTTCAGTCCGCCACCTATGCCGCCGCCCACGACGAAGCCATTTCGCAAACTTTGCAGGCTCGTTTAAAATCGTTTCAGCACTCGTTTAAGGGGGGAAGCGGAGCAAGCGTGGGAACTGGCCACACCTCCTGCGGCTCAAGGCGGCCTCGGCGTGCAGTCGGCCACACGGACGACTCTTGCTTCCTACCGCGCAGCATGGGCTGATGCACTCCCTGTTATCCGCATGCGACTCCCGGGGTGGGCTGACAGCTACCTGCGAGAGTTGGAGAAGCGCGCAAGATCTTGGCAGAAGAAGGTGGCCATCGATTCTGGAAGGCGAAATACCCGCCCGCCCATCGGATGCTGGCCCAGGGGACTGGCCAAACGGCTGGCACTTTCACGTGACGAGGACTCCCAACCATCACTATCGCAGTCTCGTGCTGTTGCCGGTCCGGCCGAAGGGGGCTCCCGAGCCATGCTCCGCTCCCAAGCCGGGCCGAATGCAAGCCATACCAAGCGAGCCAAGCACAACTTTAACTCTGCAGGCCATGCTCCTGGCCTGAGCTTGCCTTTTGCTCCTGGGCCCCCACCGGTCCAAACCCAGGATGGTCGTGTATGGAGCCACGGTCAACGGCGGGACGCTTTGCTGTGATGCGACCCGCACACGACACCCACGGCCATGCGCGCAGGCGATCGACGGTGCGGCGCTGCGAGTCGCGGAGTGCCGGGCCACAGCGCTTGGTAGTGCGCGACGGAGGTCGGGGGGCTATTCAATGCGCAGGCACTACGTTGCGCAAGGCACGCGGCTGGCGAGGGGTGGGTCGAGAGGAGTCAGCAAGGATGTCGCTAAGGAGCGGGACGTCGCCGTCGAGATAAGCTGTGCCAGCCAAGGGCAAGGATAGGAAGCGGCAAAGGAGCGGGCGGCTGCAAAGGAGCGCAAGGCGGACCACCGAGATGCAAAGGCGCCCTCGCGGCCCTTCACAGGCGTCCTCCGTGCCAGGGGTGGGTTGCGGCCGCCCGCGTTTGCCGAGAAGCCGGAGCCACGGTTGCCCTCAACGTCCGGCTTCGGGATCTCAACGTTGATGTCGCCCGGCAAGATGTGCATTGCTAACGGGCTTGCAGTCTGGGGTGGCGCGCAACTTGCAGTCGACACTACCCTGGTGTCCCCCTTGACTTCTGCTGGAGCCCCCCGCAGGGCTGCCGGTCGCACAGCTGGTGCTGCGCTAGCTCAAGCACGCAAAGCCAAGGAGCGCACCTGCCCTGAGCTCCAACAGTCTGCCCGATGCAAACTCGTCGTGCTGGCCCTTGAGCTCGGTGGCCGATGGAGCACTGAAGCTGCCACCTTTGTCAAGCTTCTTGCACGCCTCCGTGCACGAGCCGCGCCTGCCTCCTCTCGCGGCCCCAACATTTCAGCCTTTGCCTCTCGCTGGTCAGCCTTGCTATCCTTTGCGGCTGCCTGCGCCTTCGCTGCAAGCCTGCTCTCCCTGCCCCTCGGCGGCACGGCAAATGTCGACGGCGAATCCCCGCTGCTGAGCGACATCCTTGCAGACTCCTCCTTGGAGCCGCCCTTTGCTAGCCGCCTGCCCTGAATGTAGCGCGCAGTCGGCCCGGTCTGGGCCTGCACTGGGACCGCCTCTAGCCTGGGACGCTGGTAAAAAGGTGTGTGGCGAAAAAAAAACGGCTTCGTTGCTCCGGCGGCCGCCGAGCTCGATAGCAAGGACTATGAGCTTGCTCGGGGTGATTATGGGTGCCAGCACGCCTGTGGAGGTCAGAGGACAAGGGTGGTGTCAACATGTGTCAACTGCGAGCTGGGCGCCACCCCACAACACAAGACCGCTGGCAACGACTTCAATGCGGCGCTCGCCTGGCAGCATCAACATTTACCTCACTGAGGCGGACGTTCAAGGCCACTGCTCGCGAGGCCTTGCGTTCCACGTTGGCACTCTGCTTCTTGCATGATCTCGTCCATCTCCGAGACCAACGGGCAAGGCATCTTGTCCGTCGCAGTCCAGCAGGCCGTTGCGGGCAGCCCTGCGGGGGGCCAGCAAAAGTCAAAGGGGACACCAGGGTAGTGTCGACTGCAAGTTGCGCGCCACCCCAGAGTGTAAGTCCGTTAGTTATGACATCGATGCGGCGCTTATCTTGTCGGGCGACATCAACATTGAGATCCCGAAGCCGGACGTTGAGGGCAACCGTGGCTCCGGCCTTTCGGCAAACGCGGGCGGCCGCACGCTCGAGAGGCCCACCCCTGGCACGGAGGACGCCTGACCGAGAACATGCAGCGAAGTGGTCCCCCGAAACGGTCATGCAGTTGCCGGCAGCGGCGGCGAGCAGAAGTCAAGGGCAGAGGAAGGCGGAGCCGGCGGAGGAGCAAGACGCGGTAGAGCGGCGAGCTGAAGGACAGCTCAGGGGAGACTGGTCTGGTGGTGAAAACACAGGCGGCGTGAGGGCATGACTGCGAGTCCAGCAAAGCAAGGCCTGGGGCATCCAGCTCGCGGCGGATGGCACGGAGGTAAAACTCGTTAACTGAGCATGAAGCAGGGCGCTGCCACCTGCGAGTAAGATCAGCGGGGTCGTCTTCTGCAACAGGGGAGCACCGCCGAAAGCAGAGCATTTCACGTGGGGGCCTGGAGACCTGTAGATTGCAGGGACGTGGTGGCATCCTTCGAGGCAGCCAAGGCGTGAGGCAAAGGGCCGGGGCCATCCAGAGAGCGCGCGAGGGCTTGAGCGAAGGCACGGTCTCGACGCGCGAGGGCGGGGAGCACATCGGCCCAAGATGCCCAAAACGCCGCGACGGCATAGCGCTCGGCGCTGCAGAGTCCAAGTCCACCGTGGCGCAAACGCGAGCTGTGCACGTGCGGCAGCCAAGGCTGGCAACCCGGAAGCAGTATCAGCATGCAGCAATGCATCCAGGCAAGAAAGATCAAGAAAGGATGGCAGCATCATGTCAAGCGGCGTATGCTCGTGTATCTGCAGGCGGGAGTGTGCGCAGTGCATACTGCGCACGAGGGGCAGCACAGAAAAATAACAACAGTCACGCAACCTGAGTGTCGGCAAGGAGCAGACGACGGTCAAGGAAAGCCCTCTGTTTGGCGAGTGGAGTCTCAAGGAATGCCGCAGTGAACTCAGGTGTGCCGAAGGGCACTCCAAGTGCCACAAAGCCACGCTGGACCAAGTCCAAGGCCCGGCTGCCGACCCAAACGTCGCGAGTCAACACCAACAGGGTGGACTCCGGCGCGGTTCCAAACGCGGGTTTTGCCAGGGTTGAGCTGAAGCCGAAACATTGGTAAAGCTGGAGCACGCGGTGAGGTGGGGCCAGGATGTATGCGTCATCCGAGAAGGCCAAGGCTTGCT